CATATCTGATTTATTCACAAAACAAGGCGAAGTGCGTGTGTGTACCATTATTAAATGTACATGTAGCAACTTTTCAAAAACGTACAATGGAAGCAAGTTCGAAATATGAGGATGCACGCATACACGGACACGTACATGCACACATGCACCACGTTTATTATGTAATTACTATCGTTCGAACGAAGGAAAAATATCGGTGACAGAGAATATAACAAATCAAAAATAAGTCATTTATATTGTTGATTTATATGTGTAATACATTATATCGGTATCAGAAGACGTGGCGTTGCAGAAACAAATTACGATTTACTTTTCGTCGTAAACAATTTGCCTTTACGCACCAATGACTATAGTACTGCGTACTGTTCGCGATTTGTATTACTATTTTTAGCAGAGAACGAGTGACAATTAAATCTATAAATCTCACTTACATTACAACACTATAACACATTTGCAAATTTCCTACAATGCTTGGGACACCGAAGTTTGCATTCAAAATGAGAGGCATGGAAAGTCACTTGAAGCCTTGAAATCCAACTAGTACTTACAGGTAGCTGAGATTTAAACTAAGAGTGTTCATTTTTTATGTTCAAATTTAAAAATGAAAAATTCTAAGTGCAAGGAACTATGGGTATATTGGCCTGATATACCCCAGATCAGCTGACTTTCATCCAATCACTGATGCTGTAATAAATGAATTGAAATATTGACTTGTCCAAAAACAAGCGGAACAGATCTAGTAGACTGACACGTCACTGCGAATCAATTTGTAATTTTTGGTTTTATTTTTTGTTGTAACTTTTCTTTTTTCAACATTATCTTTTTCAGATTTTACTTTTTCAAATTTCACTATATCTTTCTTCCCCAGATTTTCTATTAAATGGCCAACCAATCGAAACGGTCTTTAATGACTATCGGACGGGTCAAATTGTCAACGGCTACAATGAAACTGTGTATGCTACTTTCATGACATACCAGTATAATTTGTTTCTGACGCACAATGAATTCATTAGTCATACGAACAACTAACATATCTGCTCGGTTATAATTTCTCAGAGCATGTGTCTGAAATTTTCTTGCACAAATTTTTTTGTGAGTGGGCCCTTGTGGACAGGTGTATGTTGTTCCGGACACAATAAAATTATTCATGGTTGAATCATGTCATAGATAGGTAAATTTGAAACGTAACAGATCCAGGAGTTTTACCTTGGCCATTTTTTTCAATAATTGAGGAAGAAGTATATCTCCTGATCAACTCCATACAACGCTGTTCAATCCTAGCCAAGGTACAAGGTCTGGTTTACAATAGCAGATTACAAGATACGACACAGCTATCCGTAACTATAACATTTATCATATGAATTCAACTGTAGGAATTAAACTATGAATATGAATATAAGTGTTGCCGATTTACAAGCATAAAGACAAAGATACATATGTTGATTTACAAACATAAACCAACGGCCGGAACAACAAATGACCAAAAGTACTATTTTAAACACGGGGCTATTATGACATTCGTGTTTTGTATTATCTTGCTACACGGTTATACCCGTGGCGTTGTGGTCTGGCATGTAGTACACCGACGCAGCCGCACGCATGCCATATACACTGGCAGAAGAAACCGGGGTCCTTATGCGGACTCAGAACGCCGTAGTACCACGGCAAACCTCTGTTCTGACGTACAACGTTTTATATAGGTCACAATTATAGCCCCAGGACTGTAAAATGCCCTCCGGTAGGCGCTGATTCTTAAACTCAAAGGTCATTCATTGCGTTATGTCCATGTAATCACGACGGGTTGATATTTAAAACTAGATAATACTTCGAGTTTCAAATCTTCAACACGACTAGTTTATATATAGGCAGTATTATACTTACGTCTAAGAACCTTCTAGTGTAAGTTGTAAGATTTACACACACCGGCAATTGGTCCACGATGCCAAAATTACAAAATGGCAGCTTCAACAACAGCGCCCCCAATAGACTTCGCAGGGAAACATTTTAAACAACTGCGAACCTGCAATAGGTAAATATTCCACGAAAATCAAACACGTTACCTTAAGAAAACTGAAAGTGAAAAAAATAATAAAAATAAAACAACAATCTCTGATAACACTCAAAACTATAGTTAAAGGTTGGGTGGTTGGGTTTTAAAACATATTGAAAACTGTCATGACTGCCATGTTCTAATCAGATTGTGACTTCAGTCAACATCTGAATAACGTGGAAAACAGAACAATAAAACATGCGTAACGCGTAACGTAGAATAATAGCATTTTATGCACACCACATGGCCGAACTTGATTAACGCTCATTTGAGTGGCCCTAGGTGTCTGGTCATATTTACCCGATCTGCCCGGACACTATCTGGCAAATAAAGCGTCCTGATTAAGGTATTTTGGATGAGCGCGATTTGATTATCAAGTCTGCCATTATTATAATCGTAAACGTTTGTTCATCCTGTTAGGTTTATTCTAATCAGATTATGACTTCTCCTTCCATGCGCATAAATAGATCTTTGTTATTGGTAATAACGCAAACTTCATATAATATATATATATGTATAATATGGATATGTGTATGTGAAACATTGTGCCTCAAAAGCTATAATACAATGATGGTTCACTTGCCTGATGTTTGGCTAAAGCATAGACCCCAATCCCCAGTGGCTGTGAACAAAATGTAGGGTTTTCAAACTTGGCACACTTTTTTCCAATGCTAGTTGGATACATTTTCACAACAAAGGAACAAAGCTGAGATCACAACATGTGTTTTGTCGGTTAAGTGTAGATCTACAAGGAGAAAAAGGGGCCTCTAAATTTCTTCCCCCACGTGACTTTCAAGACCTTGTTATATTTTAAGGTTATCAATTAGTAGGTCAAGTGTATGTATTCGCCTTCAAATGTTAGACATATGTGTTCCGCAGGACCATTTAGATTTTCTGGTGAAAGGTAAACTTCACTTCACTTCCAAAGAATACGTATATTCCACGTATAGATTTTACAATGTCAATACCACAGCCACTATTCTGACCTTAACTTCCCAACAATAAATCACAAATTATGGATATGGGTATTTATACGGATATTGATGTTAAAGTTATACTGTCCATAGTTGTTATTATTGTGATTTGACTTTATTTGCTTGTTTATTAAATACTCATTTTTATTATAGAAACAAGTAAAACAAATATACAGTAAAACATAATACTTTGTTCCTAACTAACGACCTCTAGCGACGAAGCCATATATGACGTCACAATAATGTAGACGATGAAAGCAATGTCAAAGCCACAACTGTATTTGATTGTGATAGTCGTTTGCCATTTAAGAAAGACAATATTTTTTATTGACTGACGAATAGGGATTAAAAAATATCCATTGCTGAGCGGCTACTTTTTTTACTCATTGCAACAATGACCGCTTTGCCGCCAGAGGGCGAAATTTTGAAGAAACGTGTGTCATCTCAACTGAACGACTACAAACTGCAAACATACAAAATGGTAAAGTTGTCACAAATAAATAGTTATTAAAAAGAAACCCTTTCCGAAATACTTGAACTTGCTTCTTTAAAGCGGGAGGGTCGTCACCTGCGTGGAACTCGGGTATTTCTCGCACCAAGTCCACCGCGAGATATTTCGTTTTACGCTCAATGGAGGACGTGGATAACCGGACATGAGCTCCGGTGCGAATTTCCCAATTTCATAAAAATAATCGTATTCGAATCTCAGGCTAGCTAATTTGGCGTGGTGAGGAGCATACAGGCATTTATACCGCCTGGGGGAACGAACAACCAACTGGTCAAATAAAAATAAATACAAATGTAAAGTAAACAGATTTAATATTTTAACTAGTAATTCACTCATTATAGAAACGCCATGGCAACAACATGTCTAAGTACAACGGCAATTTCTGAAATTACAAAATGCGTGCTTTACAGAAATTTTACAGTGAAAACACAATAGCTTTACCGCTATCGTCAGTTCTCATAAAATGATACATAACACAATAATAAACTCATGTCAACAAAATCGCCAACCAGTTCACAACGTCCTGTACAGTAAATTCGCTGACCACGAGGCAAGTATAATCAGCGATGACGCAAGCAATGGCGTCGCCAGAGAACACGGTCACTCTCAGGAAATCACAACTACTCCTGATGATTCTAGGCTCCTCGATCTGATGTACGTCAAGTTTCTTGAGCCACACGTTGCAAAAGATCACTCACCGCTCATCGATCAGTTCCTGAGTCGCATCAATTCGGTCATCACAGTCCAACGCTGTACGTCAACAAATTTGGTGCAACGCAAGTTTGACAGTCACTTTGGTTTCTTCGCAGTACGGGAATAACATAAACTCGTCCGTGGGCTGCAACACCCTGAACTCAGTTCTTTCTCAGCTTTTCGTATGCCGACTTGGTGCTTTCCAGAACACGTTCGTGTTCACGGTTCCAACACAATCCCGTTTTCGGCTGCTGCCATCTTTGTCTGTCCTGCACCTTCTTCTCTTGCGCGCCGAGTGGCGTGACATCATGGGACGCACCAATCAGTGAAGCGCGTCTCAACAGGCGTCAATCACGAGACCAAAACTTTTCCATGACGTCACAAATACGGGTTACCATAATAAATAATGCACGGGCCCGTAGTAACGAGAAATATAAAGAAAACTACATAGATTTAAAGAAACAGTAAAATTACCCTGGTTTCATGCGCATGCGTCAGATAGCCATAGCGTGTCATTGTTTACAAACAAGCGTCTACCCATGAGCCTTTGCGTTTTTAGCGTGTGTTGTTATCGTCGCTTGGGACTCAATTCCCGCGCGTGCGCAGGTGATGACTCTCCCGCTTTAACTTGAGCATAACACGTATGTATCATTGGTTATATTTTGGGTAAAATGAGCCCCTATGTTTCGCACATTCGCTTTGAGTAAACCAACAATGTACGTGTGATAATTCAGTATCTATACAGTACAACTATGTCGTATTTTGTACTGGGATACACGGCGTATTTAAATACAGGCCATGAAAATCTGATGTAAAGTTCCTATATACCGAAAATCTTGTTAAAGCGATCGTTGTTCGTTCCCATATTATTTAATCAAACACCCACTCCTTGTCGCAGGAACATTAATATCTTGATTACAAGCGATGTAGAAGTTCGTCCTGATCACGCAAGTAAAATTTGAATCATACATCTTATATAGCACTAAACGCGTACACACATAGAAAGCTGGGACGGTAAAGCTCAATACGTTCAAGTTGTCCTTAGAAGTCTAGCCCTCTAACGGCGAACCATTTCTGTGACGTAAACTTGGATTCCATGGATGTAAGAGCAATATCGTTCAAATGGACAATTATTCTTGGCTAAGAAGTCAGCATTTAATAAAAGGCAAATTTTAGTATCGTTAGAATAGCAACAGACGAAATGGCATCCCTTAGTACACAGATAGACCACCCTCGCGGATGTTAATCTCAAAGCGAGACTAGCCGGAAATTGGGTACAGGCAAGGTATCTGCTTTTGTCATGCGGCGACCAATAAAACGCGGTCAGGTTGCGGTGTTCGGTTAAAGGATGGCGGTCGTCGCGCGGGTGTATGGAAAACGAAGACCCTGGAAAACGAAGACCTAAGACCCTGGAAAACGAAGACCATGGAAAACGAAGACCCCGGAATGTTCCTATGACGCCAATGATACACGAATTCGCCCAATATCGGGCATTTACTTTCATTGTGAACTCGTTAACAAAATTCCCGTACGAATTTCATTGCGAATTCTTCATAATATATTATTTTCATACACATTTGCGGATATAATCAATGTAAAACCCAGTAGTATGCCTAATTTCATCTTGGTTTCGTTTACAGCCAAAACAAGGTCAGCTTGGACGTTCAGTTGCGAGACGTAACAAAAAAACGCAGGCAGTGATACATTTCGAAAATAAAAATACAAAATAAACGCAATCAGAGGCGCCGACCACGCGCGTTGGAAGTAAATAGAACGCGTTGTGACACAGTCTTACCAGCGTCTTTCGCTCACGCAATATAATAATGCTATTTCCCAACGCTGTTACAATATTTACCAGCTAATATGAGAATAGTCGCACTTGAAAGTGCGTTCCGAGAAGTATCATTCAGCGGCACTCTGAATGTACCCGTTATATTGACGTAATCAATGCATGAACAAAAAGGGGGCGGTACTTGCATAAATTATATGTTGTGCGAAAGTGACGTGAAGCCAGGGCACAACGCATTTACATTCTCATCCATAATATCGAAGACACTGCTCCAAATCGGAAAATGTATTAGGTTATTTATATTACAACTAGTGTTACAAAACCGCGGTAAACAAAATCACAACATGCGACCCCTATCACCGGAAATAGTACTGTTATGAAACTGTTGACTCTTATTTAATTTACATATCATCTGTCAATCAGGAACCTCTAAGTGGCGTGAATGTGCAAATCATCCCTCAAACATAAACAAAACGTAAACAGCGCTTCATAATAATAGTTTAACTGTGTTTTAAAGTTGGTTTTAATGATTATTTTAAAATTATTTTTAACAAATTATGGATATGAAACCCATCGTACAGGAAAGCCAAAAAAGCAAAAACGGTCAAAAATGAGAAAAAAACTTGCATCTTATCCTTAAATGTCTTTGGTTGTCTGTATGAAATTGTAATCTATAAATAAAGTGCTTGATTAAACTTTGTAACTATACATGCGAATATATTCAAAGTGCAAGTACTTCTTAATAAGCACCAAATACCAGTATACGTATTGGAACCCGGAAGATATTTCCATTGT